ATATATATATATATATACATATAGATGTGAAATCCTATTAACGATTAAAAAAATACATGCTTATTGTTTGGGTTTAGTTGGAAATTATTCTTGGTCTAGTATATTACTTTAAAACACTAGGAGAGTACTGGTTAAAAAAATAGACAAAATTTACACGGGAATGATAAAATGTTTTTAGAGATCTTTAGAATAATGTACTAAAACAAAAGTAAGAATTTTTTTTTTGATTACTTACTGATCAAGTATATTTTATTACAAGTTACAGCTTTTACAGTAAGTAAGATTTATTTTTAGAACAGGTATGGCATTTCAATCACTAGTGTGATCTTTCATACCTGTTCTAAAAACTAATCTTACTAACTGTAAAAGCTGTAACTTGTAATAAAATATAAAAGTAAGAAGTTCCAATCTGGAACAGATATGAGTATTTTAATTATTTCTTATAAAAACCAATTCCTAATGTAATTTCCCAAGATTTCAAAGCTGATAATGCATAAAAACAAAATAAATGAAAATTATTATATCTTATTTTTCTGAAACTACGTGGTTTTAGGAAAGCTTCTGTCAAATTTCTATCAATTTGATCTGCTAGTTTTATTTTTGAAACAAAATATGATGAGAGCTACATTACGTCCTTAGAATGTAAGGACCCAGTATTCAATGGGTTAAAGTTTGAAAGTAAATCTGTAAAAGGTCATGACATGCACACTTTAACTTACCCATAGCAAGAGGGTTAAGTGTTTGATGAACAAGCCAAACATGATACAGACAGTTTTAGAAGTGTTTATTAAATGGTTGAAGATTGAGCCTGATTTGATGGAGATTATTGTTGGAGTGTGTATTAAACTTTTGGTGAACCAGCCCAACAAAATGCATACAATTGTGGGACTATACATTAATTTTTTCAAAATGATATTTTTACCTCTCTGCACACAGTAGCTATTCCTTGCACACCTGCCTTGGAGATTTTGCACATGCCACTAGCCTTGATCTATCTCCCATGTAAGATGCATGTTTTAACATGAACTGCACTAGTGAACTGCACTTTTGATTATCTCTGACTATTTTGTTAAGGTTCCACCTTTTCCTTCCATGTTCTTTCCATCTTGTTCCAATCCTTCCTCATTCATTGTCCCACTTATCCAATTCTTTTGTGTTACTGGATCCTTAATATGGTTATTCATGCTCTTACCTAGGTCCCATTTGAACCATTTGCTCATTATACCATCTCATTTTCAAAACCTATTTCCTTCTCTTTTTTGCTTGTGGTCATTGCAGTTTTGATATTTATGCATTGAATACCACCCATATGAAAGCATTAAACCCATCTTCCCTGGCTCCAAGTGTGTCCGCTATTGAGATGGGGTTTTCTGCAAAACCACTAAGGTGGTATATGTATTTCTTTCATTGTTAATTTTACATCATACCTTCCATGGGCTAACATGAAAAAAAGCCAGTACTCGGGAATGTGTGCCCACATCCTTGACTCACGCATGCTGGCTTTCCAAAATAGTTTTTGTAGTTACCTTTGCACTTTCTCCTCTAAAAGATCCTTTAGGTGGTTACATCTGATCATGTCTGGGCACCTCTCCAGTGTCTTCCCAGTGCAAATTCATCTCCCCTTAGTTGTTGAGCGAAGCACGGCAGACCCTTGCCACTACCAGTTCCTTGTTGCTTGGGTGGTTGAATTGGAAGTTCCTCACAGGTTTTGTGATCTCTCTGGAGAGAGTTTGAGTGAGCAGCATAATACAGTTGGAAGTAGGGGAAGGGTGCCAATGTCATTGTAGTGCAGTTCACCCCTTTTATATGATATGCCATTTTACCAATGATTTGGCCAGACAGATGAGGCAAAATGATCTCCTCATACTACAGGAAGAGATTTAGTCCACATTTTTGTATGTAAGTTGAGTAAATTGTACAACAGAATGCATATAAAATCATATGGTCTGATCATTCCTCTAGCCACACTACACTTCATGTCCAACCAACCTGTTATGTGCAAATGCTTAGTTAGTCTGTTTTTTTCTGCCAATCCCTGCAACATATTGACTCATTTTACCTTCCTCCATTCATACTTCCATCTGGGCAAATAATTTATCCTGCATGAGGTGGATGAAGTCTCTTATGAATGTTACCCTCTAGTAACCCACCTGCCTATAGTGTCACACTTCATGGGTTTTCTCTGTCAGTTGAATTCTCTGAAAGGAGCTCATCTAGGTTTTTGCATTTGCACTGGTTCTTCCACTACATCAATGTGGGATTCTAGCAACTGTGTGAAAAAAGGTAAGAATATCATTTCAGAAGTTAACATTTTCCTTACCTGAATTAATTGTATTTCTGATAAATATCTCTCTGGAGGTAATAGATCATTGTTGTGTAGAGAGGTATCAGGTAAGGAAAATGTTAACTTTGAAGATTCATCCTGATGTGATTGATGGATATTACTGTAAGATGTGTAATAATTAGGTTATTTAAACCATCCTGACACTCTACATGGTCATTGTGTTTTATGGTTTACTGTAGCATTAGGCAGACTGTTGCACAAATGTATAGTAAATGATTAATGAACCAGCTTGACGTGATCCAAACTGATCTACTAATGTATATATTAAATGTTTGAAGATTCAGTCTAATGTGATGCATTCAGTTTTACAAGTGTATGTTAAAAGGTTGATGAATCAGCCCAACGTGATGAACACAATTGTAGTAGTGCATATTAAACATTCATAGAATTGATGTAGAAGTGTATATTAAATCTTTTATGAACCAGCCTAACAGGATATAGAATATTCTAGCAATCTATATTAAGTGTTTAATGAACTAGCAAGACATATTTCAGCATATTGTAGGAATGAGTATAAAGTGTTTGAGGAATCAGACCTGAGTGAAACTGATGCACAAGTATATATATTAAGTGATTGATGAACCAGACTTAGAGACTGCTGCAGAAGTGTATATTAAGTGTTTGAAGATTCAGGTTGATGTGATGCAGTGTTGTAGGACTAATTGTTTGATGAACTACCTGACATGATGCAGGTTATTGTAGGAGTGTGTATGGAGAATTGGGTGTACAAGCCCAATAAGATATAGACTATTGTAATAGTGTATATTAAATCTTAGTGAAGTGTTTGATGAACTGTCCTGACATGATTCAAACTTGATGTTTTATTACTGTGTATATGTCCCAGTAGGCAGTAAAGCTATGTTTACATTCTTACTACTGAAAAAGTTAGAACTAATTTCTCCTAACAGATTTTATTTTGCTATTTTCAAGGTTCAAAAAGATGAAGCAAACAGAATGTAAGTTTGAAAATTGTATTTTTTTTAGGTTGTGTTGCTTTTTTTATGTCTATTTCAAATACTATGTGATATAATTCTAGATGCAAATGTATTAATGCTTTAGTTTTTATAAACATGATAAAAGATATCAATATTTTACTTAAATACTTTGTCACTATTCAAATATCTAAAATGTTGCCGTCTCAAATACATTTTTTAATGTTTTTTACAGAGTAACCCATTTAGAAAGTGAATTATCAAAATTGAAAGAATTCCAGCTACATTCTGAACAAGAATACAAGGTACTGTTTTATATTTTGAAAAGCCATTTTCTTCTACATAACGGGTTCAGATAGTTCGCTGCGTTACATTCAACCCAGTTTTCAAATGAACATTAAATATCCCCCAGGCTTCTATAGAAGAAGAATTTGTTTTATCATAATTTGGTTTGTGAGATATATCAGCTTTTCACACTTCACGATAGTCTTAAGTATTTGTTTATGTATGTGAGTAAAATATGAAAGGCTTCCCAGATATAGTTTTCTTCAAAATGTTTGGAAAGTTTTGAAGTTGTTATTGTGTGAGTTATTCACAAATGGTTCAGTTCATGTCAAATCAGGCATTTCAGGAATGTTTCTAGCCTAAACTCTTCCAGTTGTGATGCTGATTGGCAGGGATGTTGGTTTCATAGAGATATAAGATTTAAACTAGTTTCACATCTCTAGGTCAAACAGCTTTTATGTGAAAGGTTACCACTGTTGCTTCACTCACAGTTATCTTCAGTAATAACTCTATATGGAGCAAGCCATGAAGAAAGAAGAGAAAATGATCAGCAATACACAGCTATAAATTCTTATATATGCATCACATTGAGTATATGCTCTACTACATACAAGTATAATTTAAATTTCATACCAGTTTCCCATCCCAAAACTCATCACATGATGTAGCATTAGCATATGGAAGTATTGGTAATCATTAGAGACTCTCTACCCTCTCTGATTTATTTTCCATTCCAGTTATTCCTATATTTATTACCTATGAAACTACAATGACACAGTGTAATTAGTGAATACCTCCTGATCTAATCAAGATTCCAGGCTGATTTTTATAACAAAATTAGAGGATGATGGTGAACTTCAATATCAAATTTTGAATTTGTCATCTATGTTAAGGTTGACAGTCCAAGTGAGTTCAAATATCAAGAATTCTGGGACAAAGATCATAATTTTGAATTTTAGAGAAAATGTCATGTTTAGCTATAGCACAAAGAGAGCTTTTCAGCAGTTAGTTTTTTTTTATTATAGATTTAAATTAAAATAATTTAAAAAACTTATTCTACCTTTCTGTAATTGGTTTCATTTGGGGGCCATTTCTGATCAAATATTTGGTGACACCTCTCAGATAAAAACAATTTGACCAAGAGATGTAAAACTTGGCAAAGGTTTATATTTTTGATAAATAGCATCAAAATCCATGAACTTTTGGTTTCAAGGGAGATTGAAATGCACTGACCCAACTTCAGCTGTTTAGGATGTTTAAATATGGAAATGACTTATTCTGATATGATACCTTACCTCTTCTCACATAATAGCTTTCCTTGATTTGTGCTGCCTTCTGTAAGTGTAAATTTTCACTTGCAACTAACCTTAAGGCACCCACATAACTTCACATGGTATAGCTGCATTGTAGCATGCAACTGAGCATATGAAAATCCTCCACCAATAGGAGTGCAACATATCCATATTGCAGCTGATTCCATTTATACTGTAGATCACGCTCATCACTTCTCAATTTGGCATTCCCAGTGCAGTTGTGTATTTTTTTAACTCTTTACTCTGATGATGCCTTTACTGCTGAAACCATGGTCGTGAATAAATGTATTTGTGAAATATACAATTGTCTTGTTTTTCCTCAATTTGTCTTTACATTGAATTTTATCATTTATCTTTAACTTTTTAACAACTTTTTATGTGTTTTCATTTTTCTAGTGGAAATATTTTCTTTCTTTTTCCACATTATGAACTCTCAGTTTAATGTAACAACTATTGCTTCTGGTATGGATCCTTCCACAACTAATCCTACCAGACTTAACACTACTGTGATTTCAGGCTCTACACATTTGACCAAGGAGATTTCAGCCTTGGAAGCATCAGGAGTTGGATTTTTTTTTGTTTTATCCACCTCCTGCTTTTGTGATACCTTTTCAGTCTACTTTTATGGAACTTCCTCATCCTTTCTCGACATAATATCTCAGGTTTATTATATTTTGTCACTTTCCCCAGTTTCCTCTGATTATTCTCCTTCCCTTCTACATTCTTTCCCAGCATCTGATTATTTTGTTTTTCCCCCTCCCAAGATATTTGCATTCATGCTGGCCAGTTTCTTTCTGAATTACGTGCTGATGCCAGTATGTCTTGTGCCCCATTTTGACGGACAAGCATGCCTTAGCTTATTATAGATCTGAGTTTCCTTTTCTTGATTCTTAGGCATTGGACTCTGTGATTCAGGCATGGAACTCCGATCCTTCTGCCACCCTTCATTTTTCTTCTGCCCCATTCTCTCATCTTTGTCTTACCCTGACAACTCTTCTACATTATTTTTCGTCTATTCATCTCCTTACTAAAGTTATCCACCATTCCTCTGATGGTTTTTCTATGGATACTCTTTGTCTTGTTCATCTTTGTTCCTCCATATGTGGTTGCTTTGTTGTTGGGATCTTCTTGGCAAGAATCCATTTTGTCACATGTACATTTGCCTACTTTCTTATTTGCTTGACTTTTGTCTGACTTCTTTTCTGTGACAGTCTGTTTTTGGAGATGTTGCTGATTCTTTAAAAACTCAGGTGGAGGCGGCACACCAACATCTCCCTATTTCTTCTCTTGTTTCCCGACTTTCTCAACCCTCTCCTGTTCCTATTTCTGTTTTTTGACCTCCAGCTTCCTTTCATTTCCCTTTACCACCTTTTCATGTTTTGGCTCATAGTCATCAGACCTCCCATTGTTGCTTTTTAAGATGTCAATATTGTCAGTGACTACTCCTTAGGTTCTGGCTCAGTGAGGGTACACGGTTGGCCCAATTTGCTCATCTGTGGCATCCTTTTGCTGCAGATTGTTGGGTTCTTTAGGTGTTGGCATCTCCAGTTCCCATTTCTTTCCCTTCTCATCTGGATCCACTTCCTTGATAGCACCTTTCTGAGGGGTTTTGGATCTCCTATGGAAGGATGCTATCAAACAGGTGTTTCTCTCTTGTCTAGGGTTTTATTCCCATCTGTTTATTGTCCACAAGAATACAGGGATTGGCTTCCAGTTATTGATCTCTTGAACTTAAACCGTTTCACCATGGAGTTTTTTCTCAACCTCAGATGGTCGTTCACTCCAGGTCTTTGAATGACAAAGGTCAACATCTTGGATGCTTATCTTCATGTCCCCATTTCTCCTTCTTCCAAATATTCTCTTCAGTTTGTTCATGGGGGTCATGTCTTTCAATTTTGCATTCTACTATTTGGTTTGGCATTGGCTCCATATGTCATCTGTTGCATAGTCAGAATTTTTGCCCATATTCAAGAGCTGGGACTGTAGTTTCACTATTACATTGTTGACTGGCTTTTTTTGGCTTCTTCCCAGTAAGTTTCTTGCAACCATACCCATATCCTCTTTGGGATGGCTTGTCAAAATAGAGAAATCACATATCACCTCCACTCAATACCTAATTCATTTGGGGTGTTTTTCAATTCTTATCTCAGCAGGGCCTAGCCATCTCCTCTGCATTTAAAGGATATGGAGCACTTGGTGTCCAAACCCAGGACTTCTCTTTCTCACAGTGCATGCAAGGTTTTTCTCTTTTTTGAGTACTTGAGCTTCTCTGGAACCTCTTGTCCCTTGAGGTCATGCACACGTGCATTGTCTTCAATGGGTGCTACACAATCAATGGAATCTTGCTGAGGATCTCTTAGACTCTGCCGTTTTTCTTCTTTCATCCTACAAGTCAACTGTGCCTAGTGGCTCAACAGAGACAACACTTTGGTTGGTGTTCCTGTTCCTCCTCCTCGTTCCAATCTTCATCTCTTTACAGATACATCTCTGACAGGGTATGGGGAATATTTGGATTCTCAGGAGATTGCCAGTCATTTGTCTATGGTTAAACTGACTCCACACATCAATCTTTTTAGATCCTGGCTGTTCATTAGGCATAGTATCATTTCCTTCCTGTGGTAATGGGGCACTTTGTCATGATCTGTTCCAACAATTCAACCATTGTCTCTTATATTAACTGACAAAGGGGTACCTGATTTCATTTGCTTTGTTTTTGAATGTTCAATCTCCTTTTCTGGGCCCAATCTCAACATGTTTGGCTTATTGCCTGTCACAATCCGGGTGCTCTGAATCTTGTCGCAGATTGGCTTTCTCATTCCAACAAGGTTCTACTGACAGAATGGTCTTTTGCTCCTCAAGTGTTCCAGTGGCTATACTCCCAGCTTGGTACTCCCCCCTTCAGGATGCATTTGCCACTTACCTCAATACCAAACTTTCTGTTCTGATCACCTGTTCTGCATCCTTCAGCTCTTGCAGTTGATGCTTTCACTCAGTGTTAGTCCAATATTTATCTGTATGCCTACTGTCCTATTCATCTTCTTCCACAAGTCCTGTCATTTATTCAAATCACTCTGTATTGAGTCCTTTTCTTCACTCTGTTCTGGCCAGCTCAGCTGTGATTCCTACTCTTGTATCTTCTTCAGTCATCTCCACTCATCCCCCTTTTTTTTTCCCAATCCCTTCTGCAGCAATCTCATTCCTCATTTGCTCATCCATCAATATCCAAGCAAGATGTAGATCTTCACATATGGGTTTTGTCCAGTCCCTTGCAAGGAGGTATGGACTCTATTCGTTGGTAGCCTTCCTTCTTTCTCATGCTGTTTATTTTTCTTTGCATGCTTACCAGTGTAAATGGTGCATTTTCAGTCATTGGCTTCACCTCTTCACAACAGATTGTTCCCATTCTTTCTGAAGTTTTCACTAGGCTCCTTGACAAGGACTTATCTATTTCTACCATGCAGGCTGGCATGTGAACTACACCTCACACATTTGTCACACATTACCTGCATCATTTGGCCATTTCTTCCTTAGTTGAATATTGTTTGCCACCCATTGCCATTCTCCATACCCTGTACAGGCTCTGAGTGGGTAAGTTCTAATTTTTCATCTCTTACCTCTACAGTGACTTGTTTTTGCATCTTTGCATCCTGTTGTGTGGTGAGTGTTGCCTGTCTGGGTATACTTTAAATCCACACCCTGATACCTTTAGAGTCTACAATGATCACTGATCAATGTGGTGTTCCTTAAGACTGCTCAAGGGTGTCTCGTGATAGCTTGCTTCATAAATAATGTCCACCCACACCATACCAACTCATGGACTATTCTGAGTAAAACAGTGTTGGGTTTTCTGCCCATCCTTCCAGTTCTAGATGAATAAACTGGGACTGGCCTGCTTTTGAAAATAAGGTTTTCATGGTCAAACATTGCACAGTCTTAAGGTGTTGCATTCCTCCTGACTTCCTACAACATTTTCCCCCTCTTCCAGTGGAGTATGTGAGTCCTTGCCACTTAGTAGTTCCTCTGGGGTGGTGGACCTTCAAGGCCTCCTCTTGAGTGTGACCTCTTCTATTCAGTTGAGAGTATGGTAGTGTTGTTCTTTTGGTGTAAATGGTGTGTATGTTTCTCCTACTTTGGACCACTACATGCAGTTCACCCCTCTGGCTGACTTTCTTCCATCCTACTGCCACCTAAATGCTGATTCCTGGGTGGTCTGGTGTTGGATCAGTGCAGGACAAGCCAACATAAGTCCTCATACATGTGGTTTGTAAGGGCCCTCCACCTACTGTGGAGAGGGCAAACAATTCTCACTGACACCTGATTTTGGACTGGAGTTGGCCCACCAAATTTGTATTCCCCTTCCTACTGTTTCCCAGATGTTAGGTTCCCAGGTAGCCTGGTGCTGGTTTTGTACTGGGTCTGCACACCTGTGCCCTGTCTAGGTTGCTGGTATGGAAGTTGCTTTTCCCTTCCACCTTCTAGTCTTTAGGTGAAGATGATTGGGACCCTTCTCTTACTGTGAACCAGAAGACACATACCTCATGCTGCTTAGTTTTGGACTCTCCTTGATCTACCAAGTACAGTATGACTCACGTTAACCACTCTACACCATCTGGCACATCCTTTTCCAAAATTTTACTTGCATCTTTTCTGCCCAGCCTGGTGACATGTATCTTCACTGCTTGTAAAGATTATACCTTGGTTCAGATATAGGTGTGACCCTATATTTTAGGGTTTTTGTTGGGCACCTTCCAAAGGGGACTCATCCAGGCAAATTTTGCATTGTACACTCCATTATTAAAATGTGGGATTTTAGCTATTATGTGAGAGGAGGTAAGTTATCATATTGGAAGTTAACATTTTTGAAAACTGAAAATGTATTTCCAATAGACACCACCACTCACACTTCCCACTTCTGGTGCACCTTTTCTTGCCTAATATTGAAATGATGAGTATGATCTACAGCAGTGATTAGCAACCTATGACCCGTGGGTCACTTGGTGACCCGTGGCAATGTTTTGGCTGACCATCCAAAAGTTGGCTTCACCATTGCAACCCATGATGGCACAAACATTGCTCAGTTCAAATTTCTCAGCTAAGTGAGAAGAACAAAGGTATTAAAGGAAAGAGTCATGGCTACAGAGAATTTTAAGATCAATTTTAGGGAAAAAATTCAAGCTGGTCGAACTATCTGTGATAAAACTTTTGACCGTAATGCTTCAAGTGTACTGTGCTGTCATTAGCCGAGAGATTCCTTGCTTGTTTGGTGGAAAGTGCTGTATGTGATATATTTTTGTGTTTTTATAGGTTTTGAGGTGAGTATATGGCAAATTAATTATATTTACAGATAAATAAGAGTTTCAGGCTATATATAAGTGATGGTAGTGTTTTATTTTTGACAACAGAACAGATGTGTAAACTAGATAAGTTGCTTCATTTTTTTTTCACTCCCATCATGGCTGCAGGGTACCACACTGAATGACGTGTGCATCGCCACCTTGCTACTCGCATGGCTGAGACTGAACAATGTGTAAAAATGTACCAAGGAAATTATTAAATTATGTGTTGCAAAATCATTCAAGAACTGTTTTTTATTAAATAATTAATTTTGTTTGGTGTTTGTAAATAAACATACTCATTTAAATACATGTACCGGTATTAAGAATTATATGACTATCACTGACAACACACAATGCTAAATTTTTCAATAAAAAATGTAATTGACCTGCAATCAAAAAAGGTTGCCAACCACTGACCTACAGTATAGAGGGAGTCAGCTGCACTAGGAGGGTGTGTAGTACTCCTATTGATAGAGGGTTGTCACATGCTCACTTGCATGCTACAAAACAGCTGTACCATGTGTAATCATGTGAAGTTAGGTAGGAGTCTCATATAGAGGGCAACATAAATTGAGGAAAGCTATTATATGAGAAGAGGTAAGTATCTATCAGAAATACATTTTCGGTGTTGGAAAATGTTAGCATTTAATATACTTTTTGCTTTAATGATAAATTATATTGAAGAGATGAAAGGCTGCCTTTGTGTAATCACAGTTTCTTTTTATAAGGCTGTAAGGTATGAAATAAAACTGTAGCCCAACAGTTTTTATATTCCTTGTCATTTTTGCCTTCTTACAGGAACTTTTGAATTTTGTAACATACCATATTGACCTGATGGTTGGAATGTTTACATTAAAATCTGCAGAAACATTTGAGGTAAGATCTGTTAAGTAAATTATGAATCAATGTTTACATGTTGTTTGCTTTAAACAAATAGTTTTGTTTTCTTTTTAGTTTTAATTTGTTTTTTTACAAATATCAACAAACATACAGGTAAATTCCATTCATTTCTGTAAGTATTGCTTCTGTTTTGTCTGCTTGTATCAACTAATACAATTCCTTGCATCTTTTCTGTTTTCATCAAATAATACCATTCTTTCTGTCTTGACTGCTTGTATTTACTACGATATTTCTTTCTGTTTTGTATACTTTTATTCTTTTTTTCTATTGTCCTCCACTTATGCCTTTCAGCATCACTGTAGATGCAAATGTACTTTCAGTACAAGGTATGACATTTGAGCAGTTAGCTGTTTCTTTGATATCATCAATCCAGCTCTTTCTTGGTCTTTCTCTGCTTTTGTTTTGTGTTAGTTGTAAATTATATGCTCTTGCTCGTAGCTTCTCTGGACTCATTCACACTATATGTTTCAGTAATGGATAAACTTCAAACTGTTGTCTCACTGTTTTATTTTTTATTTTATATAGTCAGGTCTTATTGACAGCCTTATGGAGGCATCTTATTTAACATGATGTTATACTTTTTTTTTCAGTTTATTTCTTTTGTGATCTGTTCCATATATATCATTAAGAGTAGGAGTGATACACACATTCACGATGCATGCCAGATTTTACATCTATCCAGTCTGTCAGTCCAGCCAATTGGCCTACTCTTATAAAAAGATCTTATGTTGTCCAATAAGTTGCCCTTTAAACCATAATCTTTTATTATTATTCATAGTGCAACTCTATCAACCTGATCAAATGTTTTTTCCTGGTGCATAAAACTAAATTCAGTCATTGATTGTGGCCTATTCTCTTTTCACTGAGCTGTCGTGGAGTGAATATGGCATCAGTATGCAAATTTTGCCATTGTGAAACCTCATCTGTAAATTGTTCAATTGCTTTTCAACTTTTGATCTCACTTTCTTTTTCTAGGATTTTTGCAAACATTTTCCCCACATGTGTCAGTAGGGAGGGTCATCTATATTTGTCACAGTCTCTTTTCTTTAATTTTTTCCATATGGGTATAATGATTATTGTTTGCCAGTAGTTTGATACTCTTCTTTTATACCATATAATGTTAAAAATTCTTGTGAGCCAGAATACCCCAATCTCATCACAAGCTTTTATGGTTTCTGTACTTAATCCATCAACATCTGTTGCTTTATTTCAATGACTTAATTTTATTTTTTATTAAACTTCACTTCTTAGGATATCGGGCTCATCATGCTCTGTATAACTTGGAATAAACTGAAAGCTTTCATTGGTCTTAGGGTTCAAAAGTTGTTTGAAATAATCTGCCTATTTTGATCTAATTTTCTTACCATTGGCTAATGGATTTCTATATTCATCATTAGAAATGAATAAAAACCCCTCTATCCTTAGCACTTTCGAAAGGTGGACCTTTCCTCTTCACAATGGATATTTTTGTTTTAACACAAACTATATCTTCAATTAAGTGGGGTCTCATTGGATAATAGAGTTGCTGTTACTTATGCCGTAATATTTATGCACGTTTTTGAAACAACTGCACTTGACAATTTGCATCAAGATACCAACACCGGCCCTGACCTCTGGTTTAGATACATCAATGACGTGTTTGGACTATAGAACCATGGTTCCTTCTTTAATCAAATTTTTAGACTTTCTAAGTTCCACAGACCCTAACTTCAAATTCACTCTGAATCATTCAAATGACAAGAGAAGCATAGATTTCCTTTACATTATCTTAAAGATTGACAACGACAATAGTATGCAATCTACCTTGTTTCACAAACCAATTAATAAACTTCTCTTCCTAAACTTCAACTCCGATCATCCCAAAGCTTCCAAGAAAGGTGCAATTATTGAAGAACTAAAGAGAATCGACTGCAACTGTAGTGAAAAAAACAATACATACACTGTACACTGAACTAAAATCAATTCTGAGCGATGAATATCCACCATTTACCTCAAACAAATTTTGAAAGACTATGATGCATAGAAATTAGCATCACACTTCCAACATGAGAAGAAAGATAAAAAAGGAGGATAAAAACCAATTTTCCAAGGATAACAAAAAAAAGATTATTTTTATAACACCTTTAATTGACGAAGCTATCTCCAAGAAAATAAAAACTATAATCAGGAAATCTGAACTTCCAATTATTGCTATAGAATGGCCAAGTCCAATGCTAAAAAGCCAACTTTCAAAGCCTCAGTACACAATATAATAAAGCCCACTTTCTTACAAAAACATGTTTGCAATCTAAAGATTGGTGTCTTGCCTCCAATGTTGTTCACCAGCTAACATGTAACATCTACCATTATATGTACATAGGAGAAACTGGAAGAACCCTACACATAATGATAGGAGAACATACTGACTCTCCTTATAAACAAGAACATGAAAGAAGTGCTGTTGCAGGTCATTTTCTAACTAACCATGAACAAGTACCATCTGACATGAAACCACCATTCTCTGTACAAATCGTCACCAAAGCCACCAAGTACACTGACATAAAATTCAAAGAAGCTCTTCTTATCAAATAGGGACAGAGGATGGCTCCTATAATTCTAATTATTTTATTTTTTCATCCAATCTCTTTGTTATTTAAATCTGTAACTTTGATAGAACTTTTGTTTATTACAGGTAACAGTTAATTATTTCAACAATAAGCTTTACTAATTAATATGTCAAATGCACACTATAGGTTTGATTAAATTGTATTATTTAAACCATTTTAAACTTTATACTGTCAGTTATGATTTGTGTTTTTGTGGAACACTCTTGAAAAAGCTATAAAGCAAAATGTTCAGTGTCTAATTAAATAAAAACAACATTTTGATGTTACAAGTACCTTTATTTTTAGTATTAAAATGTTTTATATACATCAATGTGCACTACAGAAATTAAAGAATGTAGTCTAGTTGTGGTGCTTTTATTAAATCTTTCCACTTGTACCAAGTAACATTGTGACTCTGCCGATGTTGGAAAAAATGCATTGATAATAAAAAGTCCTTGTTGGGTGCTGCACAGTTCCAGGACCAACATTCCATTATGGTTCTGTTCTGCTTCACTGTGTAAATGGGGTGCTAATTATTCCTTCCATGGTGATCTTGCTCCAACTTTCCCACTGAAATTTTCCATGATAATTACTTCATCTTCCTCCTGTCAAAGAATTCTTCTATTTCCTCTACTGTGTAAAAGTCACTGCATGGTTCATCACCTTGAATATAGGAGTAGGTCATTTCTTCATTTTCAGTCTTTAGTTTGAATCTTTCTGATATGATTCTTTTATCAGTATTTATACTATCTTGTCTGTTTGATTAGTTCACTTTTTCCTCTATCTTGTAACATCTATCAATTAATACATTTTATCAACTTATACCATTCTTTCTGTCTTGTCTTCTATCAATTAACAAGTCTTTCTGTTTTGCCTGCATTTATCATCTGGCACCGTGTATCAACTCACACTATTCTTTCTGTCATGTCTACTTTTATCAACTGGCCATATTATTTATATCTTGCCTGACACCATTTTTTCCATCTTGTTTAACTTTTATAAATGGATACCATTCCCTCTACCTTTTCCTTTTGCACTCACTAACACAGTTCCTTACATGTCACCTACTTTTATCAGCTGATACCATTCTATCTTAGCTGCTTTTACCAACAGAACCTATTCCTTCTGTCTTGTCTGCTTTTACCAACTCACACTTCCTTCTGTCTTGTCTGCTTTTATCAGTTAACATGTTTCCTTTTATCTTGTTTGCTTGTACCAGTTCATACTGTTTCTTTCTATTTTGTATTTTTAACAGCCTTCAATCTTGTCTGCTTTTACCAACAGAACCTATTCCTTCTATCTTGTCTGCTTTTACCAACAGAACCTATTCCTTCTGTCTTGTCTGCTTTTACCAACAGAACCTATTCCTTCTATCTTGTCTGCTTTTACCAACTCACACTTCCTTCTATATTGTCAGCTTTTATCAGTTAACACGTTTCCTTTTATCTTGTTTGCTTGTACCAGTTCATACTGTTTCTTTCTATTTTGTATTTTTAACAGCCTTCAATCTTGTCTGCTTTTATCAACTGACACCATTCCTTCTGGTCTGTTTATTTTATCAAATAACACTATTTCTTCTTGTCTGATACTTATTTTTCTAATTTGTCTGCTTTTATCAATTACCACCATTCCATCTATCACGTAAGTTTGTATCGGTATGTACCGTTTCCAGTAACTTGGCTGCTAGCACTAAGTACCACTGTTTTTTTTGCCAATTAACCCTTTCAAAATACACATACACAAGTTTTTATAGACATTCAAAACTTAATTAAACTACATTATTATCAATGTATATAACTGAACTTGGTATCAAAATGTAGTTAATAAATAAAATTTTAATACTATTTAAGTATGACGTTCGTACTTTTATAATAATTTTTTTTAAATCCTGAATCCCCTAATTTAAGAATTGTGAAATTTGTTCTCTAGGCCTTCCCTCTTCTCTAATTTATTTACCACCTTACTGAGAAGTATGAAATTTAATGTAAATTATTCATTATAATATAGATATTACTAAGGCAAACTTATTAGTTTACAGAGCCATAAACTAGAAAATCAGACCCACTTGCCATGCCCACCTGTTACATCCTCTCTTTCATAAATTGCCAACAGTTGTCTCTGAGGTTTTATACTATACTATTTATAACCAATAGAAAGTCAAAGTTTTAGTCCATCAAATGATGTATTATATTTTGTTATTTTTTGTATACATCATTGTCTATTTTACATCCAGTTTGAAAATTTCTTTTGTGGTTTTCATATTGACAAGCTTAACTAAATTTTTAAAAGCTCTTGTTTGATTTGGCTTGTTATTATTACATGTTCTTAGGTGCATTATTTGATTAAATCAAAATTATTTAGTGTACTAGTACCATTAGTATAAAAAAAAAAGTAAGTTAAGTTTTCATCAATAGTCGACAGCAAAAAACAAGGAGGACACAGATAAGTACTATATTTTTAGTTTTTCGTGTATGTTCTTTATTTATTATTATAAAAATAACTAAAAGATAAAAATTAGGAATTTATTAGGTTAGACAAGGTAAAATAATGAAAAAACAATTATTCATTAAGTATGCTTGCAAGGAACTCATTCGTTACGTAATTCAATACAGCAACTTGAGCTACACATTTGCCAAGTAACTTCAAACTTGTGTGGTGGAATTATTAGTTAGACATGGGTAAAAGGGCAATAAAACTATAAAACAAACATATACTGTTACAAGCTTTAAACTATTTGGGATAAACAATTGTAGTTTCTTGTTATAATTTGCAAAAAAAAGGGTAATTTAGATTTATTTCATATTTTTTTATGATGGTTATCAGGTCAGTCAAATTGACTCCATATATTTCCAGACAAACATTTAGTAAAAATACTTAATTAAAAAAATCTGTTTTGTTTTTTGTACAAAAGACTTGTAATGTTTACTGAAAGCTTATCAAATTTCGGGAAGATACATAGAACATATTAAAAATTATAGTATGGAAACTGATTTTTACTTTGGAGTCACAAGTTTGGTGTAATCCATCGAGCCTATAGCGTGAAGCTTAAAATTGACTGACATTATTTCTTATATCGTGGTTGCTAATATCAATATATAACTTTTTCTACCGTCCTGTCTTATAACATGATGTACCACTGTTTTTTCTGTCTTTCCTTCTAAAATCCAATGATACCATTGTCTCTGTTTCACCTATGAATAAGAGCTAATGCTATAATTTCTATTCCTTCTATATTGTGTGCATGTATGAGTATAGACACACTACTTCTACTGTTATGTATTAATTGATATTATTACTACTGGCCTGTCAGCTAGCACTGAGTACAGTATCCTTTTTCACATATCTGTTAGCTATAACTAACATTATTGCTTTTGTTCAGTCTGCTAAGTTCAATTGGCACTATTCCCTCTATCCTATTTTTGTATATATATATTGAAAAATCTCATGTATTAATTTCTAGGCTTTGTCTCTCTGCCCACAAGTTAAGGAACCAAAGTATCAAGTTATGGAAATTAAAGTGAGTTATTAATATGATGTCTTGATTCTCTGCATTATTACAATATATTAAATTTTTGATTTCAGTGAAACGTTATACTACATATAATAAACGTACTCTTACCACATGCTAAACTAAACTAGCATGGAAGAATGTATTTTTGTCTTGCTACATGGTAAACTGTGTTATCTAGGAAGAATGTTGTTTATTCTTACTACATGTTGGAATAAAGTTACATACTGCATGCTAAGCTTTACTATACTGTAAGATTGTAATATATTCTTACTTGATGATAAAGTTACTTTGTTAGAAGACTGTAATAAAGTTTACTATAATATAAGATTTTGATTTACTACATATTAAGCTCTGTAGTATCTCGAGGATTTCTAGGAAAGCAGAAAAGGTCAGGTCTGCAGAAACAAGATGTTCATGAATCTCACATGAGTATTTGTTTCACAATGGGCATGACATTTGGGCTACACAGAATAAGACTGATGTAGATTTCACACATAATTCAAATGGCAATTGAGCTTCAAAACAGGCTGTGCAAACAGAGCACAATAAAATGCAATACACTGCCACATAATGGACAAATAATGGGGTATGCATGTATTTTAAATGGAAAGTGAAGGACCTGGAAGAGCTAACAAAGACTTTATTAAAACAGAAAGGCCCCTGATGGCTTATTTGTTCCTCTCTGTAAATTAAATTGTGAAATAGAATTACAAAACAAAAAAGTTGTATTAGGTTAAGTTAGATTACTTTCACTTTAGTGTACCTACTTAAAATAATGATATACTTAAGTGGGGATTTTCAAGTCCCTAACGTCTGTTCTACTGATGTTCAATAAATAATAAACAATATCAGAAAAAACACTCCATTAAGAATACTAAAACCTGTCCATATACAGCAAATTGAAATCATCCTAATCCACTGCTGAGAACTTTGTGTTGCTTGTCCTAAGCTAAGTAACAACACCATAAGCTAAACTATGCCTAACACTTGCAGAAGGACTTTAAGAATTCTCCAGAAACAAAACAAAGTAAAATAAAATAAACAATACACACTCAAAGCTAAACAAGTTAAGTGTGGGAGCTTTTAGAGTTCTCATTGTATGTTAATCTAAAACACTGCTGAAGAATCTATGGTAAAATATGCATAAACTCCAGTAAATTCTAGTGAAAAATCTATGACAGATGTCCTATCAATATCCTCTCCTAGCTTCTAATACTGTTTTCAATATTGTAATAAACTCTTGAGTTTTTGACAATAAAAACAGTGATTGGTGCTCGTTAGGTCAATTGGCCAATGGGCAGTGAAGAACTTAAACGAGTTCATCTGTGACTACTGCATGATTTACCAACAAAAATAACTCAGCATACAGTTACAAATTACATTGTTACTCCTGCAAGAGAATCAGACAAGAGGCACCTAATTTTCACTTGAACCAATTAGCTCTTGGGGAAAGTTAAAACTAGAAACTTTCTTGAAAAATTCTAGGTCCTAACTGGTGACAACAGAAAAACATGTTCCAAAGTGAGAAAACATGGCATTATATACCAAAAATGAACAGTGGCATCCTTCTCAAGGTACAAGCACTGTCAACGTGACTAAGTTAATGCTAAGAGAAATAAAAGAAAATATAAAGGTAATTACACACAATAACACATAAACAAAAAAATTTAAAAAACACGTATACTCTTGAGTTTTTGACTACAGATGAATAACTAAAAATATTAAAGGAAAAACCCTCATAAATTCTAATGCAATTAGACAGAAATTACAATATCCTTAATGTATATAAACAAAATCAAAATGGCTATTTATAGCCTTGATCCTGGGATGATAGCAGGGGTAGGTGACATCTCCTTGGTATTCTTGAAGTTTTGATGGGGGAGGATCCGTGGTTCACTAAGCCCTGAGGAAGGGTCAGTTGGAGTCCATGTCTATGTGATCCCATCAACAGGATTTTTTTTTTGTGGGAATTGTATGTGCTACAATAAAGCTAAAAGGTATATGGAGATTTTGATGCTCCAAAGTGCTCCTGTCAATGTCAGTCAGTGTGTCCCTTTCTGTGCAGTGACAGGGGTCGTTAAGCAATCAAAAATGAATGTATGTGTAAAGCTTCACTCAAATTCAGTCAAGAACAAGAGTCGCAAAAGAGTCAAGGAATATATTGTTAAACAAGTCGGGAACTAAAGCTGTTACATGGATTCTGATTTCTTTGAAGTTCAGTTAGAAGGTTTAAATGTTGTAATGGCACAACCACAACTACCAACTATTACTTTGGTCAGTTGACATTAGTATAGGCTTATTGTACTCACATGTATATCACCCGTAGACAATGTATCCCTTACACCTGTGGATGTCCTGGTCTACCAGCCTTCTTTAGGCCTCTCACTTGACCAACATTCATCTGTGCTTTCTACAGCTGCCTTCCATTTTCATGACAACAGCTCAGAGCTACCATGGAACTTAGCCACATTCCTTTCACTATTGCATTGTTCTTATGCAAACAGAGTATGGATCCAGCAGGAAAGAAGTAAGGGGTGAGACTCCAAACACTGGTTCCTACAGAAATAACCAAAACAGGCCAGCCACTATACTAGTGCCAATCTCTATCTTCTAACCACAGGAATCTATTAACATCTCATTTCCTGTTAGACTCCCTTCAGTTTCAAGTTTAGTACAAACTAAATGCAAATTTTGAAGAACTACTTTCCAGGTGTTGCTTCTTGTCTTTGGCTGTACATAATCTGCACTTCATGCATTTCAGTAAAACTGTGTGCCTCTTAAAATACTTCATTTTGCATGATTGAGAATGTTCAGTCACAACCAAATAAAAAATTGGATCCACCAAGCTTACATTTGATATGGTACAGAGCACTGTTTGTGAATTTCCCTTTCTACAGATTATTTCACTTACTTACGAATATCATGATTTGATCAAATATTAATTACTGCTGCTAGGGAAAATAACAGGTTGAACTGTGTTTGCTTTCAAATAAAGTGTGGACATATCTATTATTGTTAATATTTTTTCCATGGAAATTCACTGTCTACAGAATATTTCATTTTTGAAACTGAAAAATTTTTTTACCAGCACTAATGAAAATATCAGGAACATTCTATCTTCAAATAATGCCTTGCAAACCAGTGATCTCATATCTCAAAGTTTTAATATCCATATTAAAACCTTAATTTTCATTTATATGTTACTTGATAGTAGTTGTATTCTTAGTTTAACTGATCCATTCTTGTTATACAACACTCATGAAAGACTTCACATAATATCCATACACATATGCAACTTCAGATAGATAGATATTTATTTGTGTATGTATATTGCTATATTCATATATATCTTAGTATTAAATTTGTCGCATACACTTGTAACTCTAGATAAATTACTTTCAGCTCATTTCCCATTATCTTGGTAATCTACACAGGTTATCTGCTAGTTAAGTCTTCATAGTTATGTTGTCATAATGTGCTGCCACCTGTGAGCTGTTAAACTCAACTTGTTTTCTAATCACTAGCAGGATTCAGCCAAAATAAGTCTTTTCTTGCAGCCAGGATTAATATTCAGGCCTTTATTATGGCTTCCAACCTATGTAAAAGCCAGTGTGTGTGTGTCACTTCAGGTTATGTTTGGTTTCTCAAAATAGGAGGAGTCATAAAAGCCAGATAGAATAGTTTGATTACTGTCTGCCCATTATGATTTTAGTGATGGGGCTGTGAGGGATGGGGGGGGGGGGTGTATGCCATGAAACCTTATAGGTGTAGTGGGTGTTGGTATAATAAGCCTAAAGTAAAGATGTAATGTGGGATAACCTAACCTAGAACCAAATGCATGCATTAAGCAATTTTCTATTTTATCACCAAAATTTTTGATAAAAAACAACAGAGACTCTAAATTAAGAAATTAACAAATATTTTTCCAGTTTTGTTGTATATACATTTCATTTTATACTTTCAGTACGTAAACTAACAACAATATTAGATTATAATTTTGTTGCTGAGCAACATGACATATAAGCCATTGTTGGAACATAGTGTTAACAAAATGCACTGCCTTTTCTATATATTAAAAGTTGTTATTCTAACTGTATTTTACCAATAATTATTCTATGAATATGCTACGAATTCATTTCATGAATGTTCTTAATTTTGACTGGCTCGTAAAGGAATTTACCAACGTTTGACTGCCTAGATTACACTTTTCTACCTCTTGGTTGGTGAAACTTGATTTTGCAAAATGTATTTATTTCAGTTAGCTATAAAATGTTAGGTTAGGGTATACTATGAGATGGGGGTGGTTGTGCTTGCCCCATCATTTTTGACAGGCTATATGCTAGTATATAATAATCCTATTGCCACAGGTATTCTTTACTGCGCATGACACGTGGTTTTCGTGTCTTACATTCAAAAGTTTATTTAACTACTTTTTGTTTAGGTTATACCAATTATTATAGCATTAAATCTTAGCTAATAATTCATATTTTAATAATATATAAGTTTTAAGTTCTTAATACAAGGCAGTATTACAAAAAATCCTGATTTCCTCTAGCGTGACACACATTACACATTTTCTCTAGGCATCTTCTTTTCTCTATTTTATCCACCACCCATCCAAAAAGTACAAAATTAAATGTAAATTATTCAGTATAAAATCATCATTGCTCAGTCAAACCATAATTTTTATAGCCTTCAATTCTGATTGGTTACAGAGCTATCAAATAGAAAATCAGACCCCTCCTACCACACCCATCTGTTACATTCTCTCTTTCAGGATTTGATAATAGTTCTCTCTTATGTTTAATTATGAATTACCTATAACCAATAGAGAGCCAAATGACATATTGTATAATGTGTTCTGAACAGATAATCATCAATTTCACGAGAACTAGCTCCACTCTCATGGGAAAGCTTGGATAACTTTGTAACAGCTCTTGTCACATAGGTAGAAAGCCAGAAAAATTGTGGTAGTTAGGGGAAATTGTCTGCTTTTGGCATGCTATTATTCTATGTTCTTTGGTGCATTATTTAATTAAATAAAAATCAGTTAGTGCATTACTACCATTAGAACAAAAAAGTGTAGGGTTAATTGTCATCGACAATTGACAGCAAGAAAGAAGAAGATTGGGTAAGTATTTTATTTCTTGTTTTTCATGTTTATTCTTTATTTATTATTATAAAAGTAACTAAAATGTAAAAATAGGGATCTTTTGAGGTTAGTTGAGATAATTTAAAATAAATAGTAATAATAATATAATAAAAATGTATCACAAGGCATGCACACCAGTAGCTCGTGGGTAATTTGATAGCATAACATGAGCTGCACGTTCCTCGAGTGATTTACAACTTATAATGGTGTGGACAGTAGTTAGAATCAGTTCAAAGGGCAATAAAACAATATAATTTAATTATAAATAGATGTATACTGTTAAGAGTTTAAAACTATGTAGGATAAATGAATGTAGTTTGACACTACATTTGAAGTCATTTTAAAAAGAAAAAGAGGGTAATTTACATTTATTTGGATTTGGGGGTGTTACAAAATCAGTAAAATTGATCAACCTTGTGTAGAGTTAGGGTAGAGAAAATAACACAAAATATAAAGTTTTACTGAAAACAAACATTGGAAATGTATTCAGGGGGTTTTAGAGATTACACAAATGAAATTTGAGATTTTTGAGATGAAGAAAAGTATTATTAATCTTAACATGAAAATCACTTTGCACATGGACTATTCAAAACAAATACTCGTTATATTCAAGGACAAATCTTTAGTTTAGTTTGTTAAAAATACTTCACTAAAAATATGTTTTTTTTTGTATGCGAAAAACATAATGTTAACTGAAAGACTGCCAAATTTTGTGAGGATGTACACACTATATTGAAAGTTTGAAGTCAAATCTTTAAAGACTAAACGAGTACAAAGAGGTCACATGGGCAGCAGACTGACTGAGCCCGTGTTGAAAGAATTAATACATATTCAAACAACTTAGGCTAAATACAATAACCCACAGTAAAATACACTTACTGTCCCCAATGGCCACAAACACCAGTAGCCAAACTATTAAGGTACTGTATTGCATAAACAAATCAATCCACACGCTTCAGTTGGTTTCACAGAAAAGTCAATGCAAGCAAATCCAGTGAAACTTCAACTATTTCAGTGATGTTCACAATAGCCCAATTAATATTTTGTGCTGAGAAAGAACACAACTCCCTCACTGTACATGAAGGAATTATACACATTTAAATGTACTAGAGTCTAGTGAGTAGCACACACTCTGCTCCATAGGACTCCTGCTACTCAACTAGATAGGGTGAGAGATTCTTTGTTCTACTATAACAAAATTGCCCAACAGCTAGGAAAGTAAGAATTGAGTTGCAATGCCCTTTCAACTGAGTCTCTGAACTCCTAGCAATCATTCTCATTGTGTAAATTATTTATGTTCAGGGCATTACATCTTCTAGCCCAGGTGTTCCAACTGTGTAACAATTGAGAAGCTATCATCCAAAATCTTGACGATATGTCTTAATGAAACTGTCTGATAGCTTGGAAAGTAAAGGCCATAATGCCCTTTCAGTCCTATCAATCTTTTTTGTCAACAAACCATTCTAACTTTGTGATAATAGAGTGGCAATTGCAAAATGTAATTTCTATATTTCTGGCAAATTCAGGATCGAACATTGTACTGTCTCTTCTTGAATCCATTCATTCCAGACAGTTCTGAAATGACTAAAGAAATGGCTTAGACCTTTCTTGATTGTACCCTTTAAAGTTGGGGGTGAAATCTGCTTAGTCTCCATCACAAGGACCTTTGAGGCCAGCATAAATTTTCTCTTAAGTACTGTCAGCTAACACCAGACTGAGATGTCCTTAACATTGGAGATGTGGAGGAATGAGCATGTACTCCTACATTTGGATAAATATTACTTTTGTGTCCTTGGGTTGCAGAATGAGTTACTAGAGGTATCTCATCCATCAGCTCAGCATCACCCCAGGCTTCTCTGTGACTTGTGGTCATCCTGGCAGTAACCTCCTATTATGAAGAGGTTACCACTTCCCCAATAATCATTACCTTCGCAAGTTTATGCCCACCATCCCACTTACTAGCTAAACAGCTCTAGCTGATAGCTGTCGTCCATCAGTAGTACCTCCATTGTCTCTTGGCTGGTAACAGATGGCATCAACCAGTGACACCTTCAGTGTCTCTTGACTAGTCATGGATGGCATGATCCACAGCCACAGTTGATCTACTCTGGTCAGCCACAGCCTGGAAGTCTTGTAGGGACTATTACCTTCAGTCTTTGACTCATCCGACCACATGCCATCATGATGATACACAGCCATGTGTGCCTTTGTGCTTTGAAGTTAAACCTCTGGGGAAGAATTTGATTGGCTATTCTGGCTGCACTGAATTCCATCAGTTCTTCTTCTTGGGTCTGTGTCAGCATCAAGAAACAAGCCATGGACTTTCACAGCATCTGCAATAGTCTGATGCTCAAAAGAAAACTTCTCCTAGACCTGCAATTTCTCTCTGACAACCATTTCTCTCCAATGCCTAACTCTTCCTCCCAGTTATAAGTCCTTTAACTCATGGAAAATGCATTTGCTTAAGTGAAAAACCTTTGCTCAATAACACAATATTTCATTCGGAAGAGCTCAAGCAAGTACAATCATGAAGAGAAAAATATAAAACTCCACAAAAACAAATTCTGTGATCGCAACAACTTTTGTCCTTTCTACCTAATCTCTGTTATTCTCAGGTTCACTGATTTCCATTAGAATAATCAGGTAGGAGTTACAGAATAACAAAAAGCTTGCCAGAAGATGTTTTGCAGAGTGTAAATCTGAATTCTCCACCCTTGACTGAGTTTAAAGCAAAAATGAGAGTGGACACAAATTAAACATAATGAAACAATCTCTTTTTACCCAAACAATAATCATGATTTAAAGAAGAAGTGTATTTTGTAGGCACCTTTACTGTAGAGCTCAGAAATTTACCTGTGAAGGTTAATCTAATTAATTATGTTCCAGGTTGAGCAAACATAGCATTATATACAAAAAAAAAAACATTTATGCCATACTTCCCAAAGTACAGAAACTATCCACATTATTCTTACAACAAAATAAGGGAGATTGTATTTTTGAGGCATCACCTGACTTGTCAGTGGAAGAGATCACTGTCTGTTCTATGTTTTTAATGAGAACCGCCTACAGGTGAACTGGTTTGTCTAATACTTATTGAAGAAGTCTCCACTCTGCTTTAAATCTGGTGTATTTATGCATCAAATAGATGTTTATCATGTAAATCGATTTTTATATCAATATTATATTGTGCATCCATCTGTCTTTTCAAAAATTATCATCTGTCACAAGTTTGTTCTTAACGTTTCAGAGTTTAATTTGAATATTAACACATGCAAAGAATTACAGTGATATTCATTATTAAAAAATATTAAATATGTTTTGTTAATGGTTTTTTGTTAAGCCTACACATGGTTCTCAACCTTTATTCTATTAATTTGAATCTGCAATGTGATGAAGGTGTTGATTTTTACAGAGTAAGATGATGTGGATTGTTGAGGAAGCAAGAGTTCTTAATCTTGAAGAGCTTCGGCGAAAGAAAAGAAAGGATCAACAGACAAGTGATAAATAAATATACATTATAAGTTATTTTAATGGTTTTAGTTAATTATATCTGCATTTTTCAATTAATATCTCATCAAACATAATTTAGATTTAGTGGCATTGAACTATTTATATTCATTATCCGTCCAATTTAAAAATTATGAAATATCTTAGTCATCATACATGTTTTTATAAAGCATTTTTTATGTAAATTAATACTTCAATTTTTATGGTTGTGAAAAATTCTGTAATGTAAAAGTTCCTGTGTTTTGTGAACAACATAATATTTTGGACATAATACAATATCTGATTTGCACGTTTTGTAAAAAACAAATGATATTATCAAAAATGTAAGTTGAAGTAACTTCACAGTACTTTGACTACTTACAATCATTGTTCTACACATTTTTACCATTTTTTATAATAAATTGTAGGAAAAGAAATGTATTTACTTTTGTATATAGAAGCCTTAATGAGTCAGTGGGCACTTATTCATTGTTGGTAAGTGATATATGCAGTGATTATATAGATGTTGCTTGATTACTTTATATTCAGTAATATTACAATGAGATGTCATGAGTCATAGGAAAATTTCAGATATAGTTGTCACAGCAGATGGACAGCTGAAGAAATTAAATGACAGCACATAACTAGAAGGGATTCACAGGTGGAAGAAACTATCAATATTGCCAAGGAATAATGGGAATGTAATAAATGCCTAGTTTTCTCGTTCATTATGCTACTTAGGACAAAGTATGTTCTTATTACTAATAGAACTTTTCCCCTCATCACACACCCAGAATTTTTATGAAATGACTCCACTACATTAATCTTAAGCTGGTTATATGACAAAAAGTTATATAGTACCTTGATTTCAAATTTTATATAACAAAATTGTATCCGTGAAAGGGTATAGTTTTTATATAATGAATTTGATAGTTTATGTAAATACTTGAAGGAAAATGGTCTCTGCAGTTAATGACCCTGAAGAAACAGGAGACTTTTATACAGTTAAAGTAATAAAGTTTGTGGTTGGTCAGTTATTAATAACTTTTGAACTTAAGCATGCTCAAAAAGTTTAAGTGAAATATGTTTTTCATACACAGGTTTATGGCCATCTGTAATAGACAATTGTCCTGTTTGAAACTGAAAACTGTTTGGCCGTGTGATATTATCAGGGCTGGAAAGTTTGTCAATAACATCAAATTACCAATTAATTTAACTATACCATACATTACTTCTCTCATAAATAGCTATTCTCGTTTATTGCAACCCTCTATATGCAAAAATATATATATTTATGCATGTCACATAGGACACATCCTTTTCATTTTACCTGTTTTTATAATTTTTGGGATAGAGTTACATAAATATTATATGGTTTGGATCACTATCTGACCTTAGTTCTCTCTCACTTGAATGTGCTCCTCAGTTTCCATCCATATGTGCAACATCTTTCTATGATGGGTGAAGAGTATACCTGTTTCAGAAGTGGTGTAGTCCCCCACATCAGATCTTAGAATCTGACTGTCTCCTCTTCAGGAGTGTCCTTCAGATGCTTTTGAAGGATACTTCTTTCCTTCTTTCTCTCGCACCGGTCCTTCCAACTATTCATGTGGGATTCTAGCTATTTATGTGAGCGAAGGTAATGTACCGTATCAGAACTTATAATTTTCCTATACTGAAAATGTATTTGTGATAGATACCTCCCTCACACTTCCCACCCTTCCTCCTCACTGAAAACCGGTGCTTCCATCTTCTACTAAAACTTGAAGTGATAGTTTGATAGAATTGAATAGAGGGAGTCACATGCATTGTGGAGATGTCGCATTCTTATTGGTGGAGGGTTGATGCATGATTATTTGCATGAAAGATGCATTGGAGTCAGTCAGTTCCAATGGAGAGGAGATAAAAGGCTTGTGCCATGTGTAAAAAGTTTTTTTGCATATAAAGGGCAGCACTAAATGAGAATAGCTATTTTATGTGAGAAGTACCTGTTGGAAATACATTTCCAGTGTGGGAAAGTGCCATTAAATACCATTAAATAATCTAAAATCTTTATTATTTATCATTAAATACCTCATATTATCACAGTTTTTTTTTATTAATTTTTAGTCCCCAAAGTCTCCCTATGCTTGTAGGTGAGTCTTAGAATTACACCAGTAACAGTGACAGAGTATTATCTAAAAATAAAAAGCAGTATTTATTGTGTAATAGCCTAATATTTCATTTGACATATTTTGTAAATATATATATATATATTATAATACAAGTGTTTATTGTGTCCTTGTTCTCCCACAGAAACCTATATAGGTAAGTGATATTATACTATGCCACATATTCTGCTATATAACTTCACAATAATGGCATATTATAAAAAAGAACAGTTAAATATTTGGTATAATGACTGGTAATATTATTTATTTTCGATACACAATTTCAAAATGGTAGCACTGTATGTAGCAATGGCTATTTTGTTGTTGGAAGGATGGAGATAAATAATAAACTGGTTCTTTTTTCTATTTTCCTATAATTTATGCTACTTATATTAAATTTAGTAAAATTTGTATGCTGTTACAGTAAAAAGAAATTAATAAATAAAATATTTCATCATTATTTGACTAGCCAATTATCATTTTAATTTTGACTGGTCAAATGCCCAGCTGTAATTCCATCATTTTACAAAACACTTTTAGTTACATATGAGAAATCTAGTGGTTGCTATACCTAAGATATTAAATTATTCCCATGTTTTAGAATGTCTGTAACTGTTACCTAAACATGCATCAAAAATTTTAAAAATTAATGATGCGAGAAAAAGCTTGTGATAGAGAAATCAGATAAAGTTTTAGCTTAAGTCAAAATTAGTAAACCTTAAACATCTTCTGATCATAAACTTTTAACTTTGGTACCAATATGTTATGGAATAGTAAACTTATGAGACTGTGCATAGATTTTTAGAAATGAAATATAGAGTTTCTGTAAAGCTGATACATTTCTCCTTTCTAACATTTAATAAACATTAAGTATGATTAGATCTGGCTACTACAAGATCATGCAAATCAAAAGAATGTTACTTATGTGTTTGCATACATATGTGACTTGTAGTGTAATGCATATGTTAACTAAAATTGTTTCTCAATGCTTTAATGACTAAGGTAGGTTACTGCTTGATGCAGGGAGATTGAAACTTTCATCAAGTAGACTTGTCCATAACTTCTAACCAAACAAATACCTATGTAGAACTTTTAATCAACCAAGTAATTCATACAGCTGGTTAAATATATCACTCTAACTCATACTATGCATTGTCATAAAATAAAAATATATTTACTAGAATGCATTGATTCATTAGTTGGGTATTCTCACTATTATCAGTTCTTAATATTTAGATGTAACATGTTGATCATGTAAACATGGTGCTAGGAATATATTAAAATTTGAAGTATTTTAGTCTTAGCTTTTTAGAGATAAAAAATATTGCTAAAAATGAGGGTACACAACTGATGAACCAGTATGTTCTAATGATTGTAAGTAAGAAAGAACAATATGTTAAATGTGTTGAATTTTAGCTCTGATCTCCAGAGGTAACTTTCTTTAATCAGAAATGAAGTCAGTGTTTTTGTTACTGGGTTCTGCTTCTGAAATGTATTTCTCAAATTCTGTAGTTGTGTAAATTGCTCACATAAGACTTCTGTATCTGTATATACCATCATAGTGTTGCCTCATGGTAAATAGGAGAAAACTGTCATTTCCATGAGCTGCTTCATTAATGACTTTACCAAAATATGATGAAATAAAATCAACCAGTAAGAAGAGCTGATAGTAATTATTTGGAATGTATATTTATCTATTTGTAGCTTATCACTGTGGAGGAATTTGCTTTTAATTTTAGTGGTTTAGAGTGGTGCACATTCAGTACAAGATGCTTTTTTTCAGTCAGAGTTTAGTAAAACACTTAATATACCCAAAATAAAGTTCCAAGACAACAGTGAAACTGGATCATCACAACTAGAACTGGTCATAAAATATTTTTATGCTTCTCTGCCAATTCAAATGCAGCTATGTGGATTCAGTTTTGTGGTCAAGTCCTATATATGGCTAACATAACACTGGCTGGTGCCTGACCCATCCTTCAACAGCACGGTTCATAAAACATTATAGTTAACCATAGTTACTTTACATTGTTGGAATAGATCTTTTCTAGCCGGTTTCCATATTATTAATTATTTATCAGGCATATGAAAACCAGAGAATCTTCCTTTAATTGTTATTGAGATACATAGAACAAACTACCATGTGATTCTGCAAGATATGATCCAGTATGTCTGACATGTTGTGATTACTTTTACTTTGGGGGGATGCATCAATATATTTATGTCATTACATGCATTATTGGTTTTTTCTTTTAATTTGTAAGTAATATAATTTTTTTCTTTTACTTATCACTGCACAATGGGTTCTTTTTTTCCATGCCACAAGCCTTGAACTCCCATATATCCCACGATCAATGTGATTCAACTGCATCTTCCATGTAAAATCATCATGCAACAACTCTCCACCAGTAGGAGTGTGACACACCCTCCTGATGCATGTGACTCCCTCGATTTTGTTATACCTAACTATCACTTCATGTTAGGCAGTTAGTGATCCAGTGCAGACCTTTTCCAATTGTACACTCTTCACAGGTTTTTCTTTAATATTTCTGTGAATTAGAGATTTAATTTATATATATTACTAGAGTTTGTTTTCTGTAGTTTTGATGTGTGTCAGGGATATTTTTTACAGTATGTGTCTGTTTCTTGTTGGCAATAAATTTGAACAGTAAACGGTCAGCACACAATCCATTTGTTTTAAAATAATACATTTAAAACAAGTCAAATGTATGTACAAAATTATTTACACCATAAGATATTACAGTTGTATCTAAAATTCTAAATCTATTTTCATATCAAAAGTCCACAAAGGCTGATTCAGTTACTTTAGAATCCAATTGATGAGACAACTTATTTTTATTATCTCTTTTGTTACAATACAGCTGTGAAAAACTATAGAAATCACCTATTAAGGTTAATCTCTCACACGCTAGCTATCATTGTTTTATTTTACTAACTAATTCTTTTTTATCTTAACCTCTTCTCACTTTTTCTTCTGTTCCCATAGACCTGTATTCGTAATGTCACTTTTTGATACTTGCAAGGGCTTGATGTCTTGCTTGTTCTTCTTCCCTTGAGCTCCTGTGGTGACTGAAGATACTTCATCCAACTTCTTTCTGTCTGGTTTCTCCAAATTCTTACTTCTTAGTATGTTTCCATATATTGATGCCTTCATACACATGGTCTCAAAGTCTTCTACATAATATGGAGTATTCACCTATATTTTTGCTGTGGGAAACTTTCTCACTGCTGCACTACTGGTGTCTTCTAGGACTTTCACTTTCTTGTTCCCGACACAGCCTTCACCTGTTGGCATATTGTAATTTGTTAGCACCCCTCGATATCTGTAACATGCCCCAATCACTACTGGCACTGTTGATCCATTTGCTAACTTCAACTGACCATTAGTTGTACATTGATCGATCATGGAAATGGCACTTCCTTCTTGTGGTGAACCTTATTTGTTTTTTTGGTTTTGTTTCTTCTGGCAGCAGCATCCATAGTGACATTCACTCCTTTTTTGTTTCTTGCCATCACCATCTTTGTGGGTAGCTCCAGCTGCTTAAGTTGACATTTCTGTTGTTGTTTGTTGGCGACAGACTTGCACTCATTCGCAGTGTGCCCGATTTTATGACAAGCTTAGCAACTCTTCTCTCTTTTGTCTGTTGACTTCTTGTTACCTATGGTGTCATTCTGTTTTTGATTAGCCACCTTCGGTTTCAACATTGACTGGTTATTCTTGAACTTGCCATTATACTCCCTCCATGGGCTTCCTTATACTATTCTGACAGCTTGGTCATCTTGTCCACGTCTTTTGATGCTCTCCACTTTAGGAACAGTGACATGTCAGTGGAGCACGTGATCATAAACTGTTTACGTATTAGTAGATCTGCCAGTCCTTCCAAACTATCTCCACACATGGCCATGTCAGTCCATCTTGTGAAGTCCATAGATGTGACACAAACTGAAATACAATTTCCCCAGTGTTAGGTTTGACTTCAAACTTCTGGTGAAAACTTCCATGGTAAATTCACAGCACTTCAGCAAGGCCACTTTTAACTTTTCATAGTCCATGACATTTTCTGACGTCGTGCCCATATACATTTGTAAGCATTTTCCAGTGACAAGGTGGCTGAGACAGATTGCCCAGTCGCCTTTGTCCCAGTTCTGACTTTGGGCAAATCTTTTATATCTCTCCAGGAAAGTATCCATGTCATTTTCTGTTCAACAAATTTGGGCAGCTTGGGTTGGCTGGCCCTGACCCCATTGTCATTCTTGGGTCCTTCTTCTTTCTGTTGGGTGAGCTTTGCAATCTTAATTTGTGTTCTTATTCTTTCTATTTGTAGTCTCTCCTATTTTTCATTTTCTTTTTTTAGTCTTTCTTCCTTTCTTCTCTGTCTACGCTCTTCTCTCTCTAGTTCTTGTTGTTGTTTAAGAAACTCTAATAGTTCGCCATCTTTGAACCAATGACACTCACCTCTTTCCATCCATTTATAAAATCTGTTGACATGGTTATATAGCATGATTGTAATCTCAACACTGTTTTTGGACACCACTATCATTGTGCGTAT